TCGTGTAATAATTCCGTGTAACGAGTCGACGATTAAATGCTCGCGTCTAAGTAGCTACTTCGACACCGTTGTTTCTAATGGGGAAGGGGAGAGACAATGCGTTTTCATTTGTCGATGAAAAGGAACTCGCGGAAATTTGTTTCATGCTTTTGTTGAAAAACGCTTCGTAACGCGCTTAAAGGAAAAAAGTTGGCAGCACGTCCCGGGGTGGGTGTGTCAATGTACTTTTCATAGGTCGGGGAGCGGTTGGGGAATAGGCCTAAAGGCGAAGAGTCGACGCAGTGTCGTCGCTCGTTATCCTCGGTTTCCTCTTCCTCCTTTCGACGAAGAATGGAGGCCACGAAAATTTCTCCATGCGGAAATGCCACGCTTCTCGAGCGCGAGACCACACGCTCGTCTACGCGCTCGAGACATTAAAGCGTGAATGGTTAAAAATAGAATCGCTAGGACGAGCAGCCGGCTTTCCGCAATGGCTCGTCGCATCGTTTTTTTTTTTTTTTTTTCTTCACTCATCCTCCTTTTTACAACCTCTCTTACTTAATCGATGCTCCGTCAATTAACCTTTTAACGGACAAATTCGAGCGGACGCTTTTTCCTTTGAAAAAAAATATGTATGTATATATATATACTTTTTCATTCTTTGAACAAGAATCGAAAAATATATCGGTTAATGGGTAAAATTATTTTATAAGAATAATCGTCTTACTTCTCTCATTATTCCCATTTGCATATTATTATCCTTTAATGGTGAAAAAAGGAAGGCTTGGAACGTATAAACCGGTTATAAAGATATCACGTACGGCAAGGATAAGTCGTTTTCCCAGGATACGACGAAAAGTCGTAGCCGACTTCCGGCTCCTTTTTCCACGATGAATCACGCTCCAGCAGCGGCAACAGCCTCAATACCGAATCACTAGTCGCATCTACATACTTACATGCAACTATATACACGGCTGTTTCTTCTTTCTCGTACGCCGCGACCGTTTTCCGCGATGATTAATATACATGTGCATATACATACGGCGCGACGAGATTGCAGTGCTTGCGCACACTGCGTGGCGAAACTGAGCGCGTACGAAAGAAGGACAGATGACCGAACGAGAGGAGGAACGTTGTTCCATCGAAGGAACGAAGAAATAGAGAAAGAAACAGGGGATAAGGGGATAAAAGAAGTGGCTAGATGTAGTCTCGATAGTGCGAAACGAGGTAAGAGAGACCATTTTTCGAGGGAATCGAACGGAGAAAGACGGATTGCAGGATAGAAAGAAAGGAGTTGACGCGGCGGTAGACTCGTCGGAGCGAGAAAGAAGGAGACGAAAGAGGAGCACGAGGCCGAGAAGGAACGATGAGCGGCCAGGAGAGCCGCGTGGTGCGGAGAGAGAGGCGAGAGAAGGTGGAGGTATGCTGCGCAGCCGTGGGAACCGACTGCCGCGAGTGAGCGAGCCTCTCTCTTTCTTTCTTTATCTTTGACCGGTTTCTTCACGTTCTCGCTCCCTCTCGATCGCCTCGTCCATTCTATCCTCGTTTCTCTGTCTGTCAAACACGGAACGAGCAGAGGTTGTTTCGCTTCCTTTTCATCATTCAGGTTCTTCTTGTGTGTACGTATATGTATATATGTATATCCATACCATGCTTTTGCAGTACCTCTTTTCTTCCCTTTTCCTTTTCTCACTCTTAACGTTACCTTACGGTGCGCTTTTTACATCCCCCATCTTCTTCTTCTTCTTCTTCCTTCCTTTTCCTTCCTCGTTTCTTTTTTAGACAGAATATATATATAGATATATATATGATGCGTATACATGTGTATGACGCGAGTATATGTATATTGAAAATACACCGATTCCCTTTCTCTCTCTTTTCTTCTTGTCTTCTCGTTCCTTTTCATTCAAAAGGTTCGATCTATCTTTTTCTCTCCTCGTCTCTCGTTTGCTCATCTTTATATCGCCTTCTCCTCTCGTTCCACCGTGGCAAAACTGCTAACCGGCCACCGAACACACCCAACACATTGTTCTTAGGATGCCTACGCGGGGCTTTTTCAGCTTTTTGTCGGCTTAATTCCGATCCCCGTAATAAATTAGCGGCCGATCACGGTGGCATTTGTCTCCTCGACAATTTATTTCCTTCTCCCCTTGGGTCGAGGCCCCCTCTCCGTCCTTCGCCTCCGAGGTCCGTTCCATCGTTCCCTTCTTTCTGGCCTTCGTTGTGCCTCGCTTTCGTCCTTGCCGCGAGAGAAAAGGGCGGTCTTGCCTCTTCTTCCTTCAAGCTCTTCCCTCTTCTTTCAGCCGTCTACACCTTCCGCTTCATCCTCCCGCCGCTTTTTTCCCTCCTGTTTTATCCACGTCGTTTCTTTTCCTTTTTTTTTTTTCTTATTATCGTTCTATCTCCGTTTCACCGTGAACGAATGAAGGTTCCCCCTTTAGAAGGTTCAACAGAGGACCAAGGTATACCGCGGAATTCACACTGGAACTTTCTAACGTGTACACGCATGTGACATACCTGCGACGACCCTCTTTCTACCTTTTCGTTCTTTTCCTGGTGACAAATTGCCCCGTGATTCCAAGGAATATATATCGAGCAAAGAAATCGCCGCCGTCTTTTTTCGTATATATATATTTGGTAACTCGAAAAAAGTTTGCCTACGATCCTTAAACAAAATGACAGAACGAAAGTTTAAATTTCATGTTCGAAAAAATTCCACAATGGAATACCGAGTTTATAATGTATGTACGTTGTGATTGTATTATCAATGGATGGTTGGACATCCACATATTTCAACGTTCGTTATTCCACCTTCGTTCCACTTTCCGATCGATCAAACAAGTTCATATCGAAATCAAAACAAACCCCTCGATACACTCCAGTCACGGCAATCTCGTATTTAATTATCCAATTTCCATTTATTATCGCCATGTCACCGTACCACCGAATCCAATACCAGGGGAATATCAACAGGCATACGCGCCCATTCGTCAGGTGGTTATCGGTTAAATAAGCAGGTTAAATCGATCCCTAGGGTTAAACCCTAGGGTGAAAAGGAGAGGTTGGCAGCACGCGAAAACGGGATCCATCACGTGAATAGTGTGTGGCTGGCTCGCTACGCGGCGGCAGGTCATCGCGTATCACCGAATAATGAAATTGTTCCCAGCGTTTTCGCGGCACGTCCGCGTTGTCGGCTCGTTTACGCGAACAGGAACGATGATGACAGAGAGGCCGGATATAAACATTTATTATTCACGATGCGGCAACGACTAACGAGGTCGTGTGTAATACCAGCCGCTCCTCGCCCGTCTCTCTTTCTCTCCCATCTCTCCCACCGTGTCTTTCTCCGTCCCCCTCGGCCTGTCTCCACACCGTGTCAGGTACACACGCGGCGCGCGATACGGAGCGCGTGTGAGTGTGTGCGCGTGCGTGTGACGTTAATAATTAAACGTCGCATTATCACCGCGCGCACACGTAGCGAGCACCGCGTGTACGGCACGTACTTATTACACAATAATGTGCCGCCGCTCGTCGTGTGTCGCGGCGGCGTGGGCCGTGCGCGCTCCTCCACAGGGGGGGGGGGAAGGTATCGTTGCTGGATTTATGGTCGCGCGAGCGATTCGACGCCTACACCCCTGCCTTTCGCGCCTAGATTTCCATCTTGGACGTGTGAAACCGTTTTCGTCCGACTTTGTTTCATTCCTCCTTCTTTATATATATAATTTTTTGTCGTGTTCCATTCTATCTTTGCGACGACACACTTAACACTCTCGATCGCGTGAATTGAAGAAAATTATCTAGAAAATTTCCAGAAATCGTTCGATCAATTACAAGTATCCTTCCCGTTAATTCGAATCAGCGTAACGATCGCAGGAATTAATAGATCGCCGGTTACGTGTCGCGAGAGACAAGCGTGTAATTTCTGTTACACAATACGCGGTCGCGTGTTGTTGCGTACACGCATATAGTATGCGAATATCCATAATGGATAATGCAAACTAGGAATATATATATATATATATATACATATAACAAGTTTCCCCGGAACGATGACAGCGTTCCATTAAAAAACCGAGTCCCCTCCCTCCCTCTCGTCGATCGATTATTTATTTTCGCGTCCAATTAACCCATCCCTACGCGTCGTCTGTCGTTGTTCGAGCAGTGCACGTGCCATCGTCGAGGAAACGCGCGGACGATTTATATCCGGTGGTCGTTAACCATCCCCTATCCAAACCGACTGTGTCGACCTTCCTCCTCCCCCTACTTGCGGGTAATTCGAAAAACGGGGAAGGGTTGTGAAGAAGAAGGAGGGAACGACGAGATGAGGGTTGAAGTTTGCGCGGTTGAACTTAGTTTACGACGGCTTCTGTCTCTCTATCTGTCCGCAACACGTGACGTCGAGGCCGCCCGCCTCCCCACTCCTCCCCTCCCCTCGCCGCCATTTTAGACACGCTTCGCCAAAGGACATGCACCCCTCCTAATGCGCGTGGCAGGTGCGCACGTGTGACGCGGCCCGCCGCCTATGGAACGTTTAATTTATTGTTAATTGCGTGACGCAATGGCACGCGCAGCAGCTGCGCGCGCCTCGCTTTTGCGCATCGAAACGGGGACACGGTTTCACGAATTTTTATATCCTTCCGTGTGTACGAGAAATTTTTTCATTATCCTCGCCGGATAAGCCTCTTCCTCGTTTTTCACGGACAAATTGGGGGAAGAGTGAAATCGATTGTTGTTATAATTATTATTATTATTCTTTCTTCGCACGGGTTATCGAACCTCCTCGAGGAGGAATCTTCGAGGATGGAGAAAGGAGAGTCGTATAAAAAAAAGAAAAGAAAGGAATCGTTCTAATAAAAGAACGAGGAGGAGGTTCTGGTATCTGCTGATACGAGAAAAGGGTTAATAGAATATAAGAACGAGAGGAGCTGGATTACACGAATAGGGGGTGTAGCGGTTAAGATTAGTAAATAGGATTAAACGTCTGATCGAAGTTCACCAACCTCCTCTCTCTCTGTTCCCAGGGCACATTCTCGCTGATAGTGGAGGCTTATCACGACGCAGACAACACGACACAACACTCGAGCGGTAAGTAACCTTTTCCACCCTTCTCTTTCTCTCTTCCTTTATTAAACCACACCGAAGAATCCGTTGCTCGCTCGCTCTTCTTCTTCTTCTCTCCGCAAGCCTCCTCTCCTCTCTCTGCACCACGACGTATGTTGTAACTGGTGGCCGCGTGTTCGGCACGAGTACGCCGTCGCACGCGCTTCTTCGAGAATGGGGGGGAAAAAAAAAGGAAGAAGAAGAAGGATGATATTTTTAAAATTAGTCCTCTCTCCTGTGTACGCCACGAGGAAGAAGATTCGAGGAGAGGAGAGAGAGAGAGAGAGAGAGAGATTCTTCTCGGGCATGTGCAGTCCAGCTGGATCATCGCCATGCCATGCACGTCCAGCACGAGAACCCACTTCCGGTCCCTGTGGCACGACACTCACCAGAAACGTAACCTCGTTCTAAACTTCTTCCTCCTTTACCGGTGCTCTCCTTTTCTCTCTCTCTCTCTCTCGTTCACGATTTTCGATCGTGCAGGGACAAGTCGCTTCCTGTTGCCCCCCCCCTCCCTCTCCCTCCTCCGGACAAATATTGTTGCTTTTTTCTGGATGCTGCGGTTCCAGCTCCCGGTTAACCGGTTCCCCTCCCCTCCTCTTTTCTCTCTCTCTCTTTCTCTCGATTGCTTATGGTCGAATGGTTCGACGGATGGGAAACAGTATTTCTATTTTATTCATCAGATATATATCACACGACAATGTTTTTTTCGTCTCGAAAAAAAAGGTTGAAGAAAGTATGTCGATAATCCTAGCTGCTTTTCTCGATCCTGCGCTTCCTTGGGACGCGTCCACGTGGACAAAGTGGTCGTCGTTGTGTGCGCACACGTATAGCACAGAGAACAGAAGAGACGGAACGAGGGAAAGAGAAGAAGCGGCCGGAGGCGCTAGTGTTTCCTTCCTGTGTAACCGTAGCACCTAGCTGCCAGCAACGCGCCACGGTAACACGATACCCTCTGTGGACGAGGGACGAGGTGTATGCGTGCGCGCGACCATCTCTCGTCTATCGAACTACTCCGTGCCAGCCGATATTTCGTTCCTTTCGTACCTTCTCTGAACCCGTTTCAGATCGAGTCTTCCTTTCTCGAACAAATCGAAACGTTAGAAACGGATTAAAAGAGTAGCTTGTGTAAATTTCGAAATCTCGAGAATTGTTGAGAGATGTTTTCGATAGTTGTATAAACTTCGAATATAGTATAACTATCGAACGAGAGGAAAAGAAAAATAATCGTGGAACGCTCGAATAATAATGATTGATGATCGTCGCACGGTTACGAGACACGATATTCTCTCGTTAAATCGGAAAACGCGTATGCAAATAAGCACGAAGACGGGGAGGGGGGAGGGGGCAGTTTATAGCTTCCGTATCCGGGGAAAGCACTCAGACAGATCGGCGAGAGATAAAGGTGAATTAAGCGGTCGAACGTGAGCCCCGAAAATAACGAAATTCAATTATCATCCTGGCGTGATCCAAGGAGAGCGCGTAGGTTAAGAGTGTGTGGTTGGATATATATATATATATATATATATATATACGTATACGTGGTTGCGCGCCACACATGAGCGCCACGCATGAGAGCGTTGCACGGCCACGTATAGCTTCCGGTCTCCGGTTCATTCTAATTGCCAGCCAGACACACAGCCAGGACCTCTCGGGGAAAGGAATTAAGCGGTCTCGCTCTTCTTACTCTACGAGCCTCTTTCTCGATCAACGTGTATAGCTGAGAATATTTTAGGGTCAGTAAGACAGAATTGATAGTTGTTGTTTGTCGTAATAACACATTGTTGCTGTTTTAATAGTATATCTCCGAGTTCCTGTTCCAATTAATTATTTTTTACACCGAAATTTTAATCCCACCGAATTGAATTTTGTATTCAAATTACAACATCTCGAACCCCATAGTACTCCCCGAACCACCACCAGTCGTTTCCCCGAGTTCGTTTTTAATTAAATTTCTTCCGGTTCTCCGCGCCAAGCTTCCTAGTCTCACGAAGGCACACAGCCCCGCGCGCCACGCTTCAGAAAAACTCTCCTTCTCGATCCCCGTCGAAGCGGCTAATTACGAAGGGAATCGAGCTTGGCTTCCTTGTTTCAAGCTCGGCCCGAGAACGGAATTCCTACCGTTATCCCACAGATGTACCTGCCCGGCGCGCATCCGCGGCTGAAAAGAGACAGGAGGAGGGCAGGGACGGTGGAGAAAGAGGGAACGCGGCCGTTAACGTCTCCTCTCCCATTAATATGGTACCACGCGCGTTTTGTGTCCGCCGGTTCCTCGCGCGTTTCGACGTATACCTACACTCCTTCCCCCACTCCAAGCCTCTTTATCGCCGAAACGCACACCGCTCATATTGTGCCTCGAATTTCTGTATGCGCGCCACAGTCGTGTATCGGCCGCTCCGCGCACAATAATAATGCCCCCCAACAAACGCTGGTGAAACGAGCCCTTTATTGCTGTTCGCGCTGCTCGGATGCTGCTGCTTCCTTTCTCAGGCCCAACGCTCGCCTCCTCCGTCTCGCTCCCTCACCGTCCGCGCGCTATCCACCTATCCTTGTCCCTCTTCCACGCCGATCCCATAAGCCCGAAGATACACACACCGCGCGCGGCTCGCTGGCTCGGGAGGACCGCACCTGCGCCACGAATTATCGCTTCGAATTATTTCTGGTTCCGTTTCCAACCGTGGTGGGAGAACGTGGTCAATCCATTAAGGGAATAACACGTGAAAGTAAACGCGTAAATAATAACGTGTTCACCACAGTTATTGTTGTACAACGAACTATTTTTATTACGAAAACTTTAACGTTTCGTTTTCTCGAACTTCACGAGAGAGAGAGAGAGAGAGAGAGAGAAGTAAAAGCCACCCTTCTTCCACGTTTCGCGCGTAACACGAGTCTCCACCTCTCCTCCGCTTTTCCGTCAGTGGGGCAGGGGGGGGAGGAGAGGTGGAAACAGATAGGCCTCGTTTGCGGTAACCGCGGTTCGTTAAACGAAACGAGACGCGGCCGGATTTACGACGGTTGCTGCGGTGTTCGCGATTGTTGTGTGTATATAAGTAGCAAAGAGCGGCTTGAACGGGAATCCGTAGAGGAGGAGAGAAGGCTTACGTCATCGCCGATTGTCAACCGCTCTCCGCCGCTTTTCCCTTTTGGGTGAAGGGACACGGGCGTGTGTGTGCACGCGGCCGCGTGTGCACGGCGTGCGCGTTCCTCACCGCGCACCTGCCATTCCACAGCCGACAACGATAATGAGCGAGCAGAGTAATTGGACCGCTGTCGCGCGCATGTTCCCGCCGTGATAACGCCGAGCTGCCCTGTCCGTTCCGGGAACCTGGTAATTCGTCGAATCGAAGGGGGGAGGAGGAGGGATGTGCGTCGAAAAATTAACTCGAACGTATATAATAATAATGTCTGTTGACAGTAGATCTGAATAGTAGAATTTTTTTTTTTTTAATCGTTATTGGAATTTTAATCCAATACTTCCCGATTTTTATATATATAGTTTTGATATAAGGTTTCAAGAATCGAAAAATTCTGCCGTGTCTTTCATTCATAAATCTCATTCAATTCTCGGCTTCATAGAAGGCGGATGACTTAGAAGTTCCGGGGTGTGTGGTTTAACAGAGAGGGTGGCCACGTGGTAATCGAAAACCGGCCGAGCCGTTTTTCGACTTACGCAACGTTAATCTTAACGAGAATAATAAAGTTTTACGAGAATAAATTAATAAATGGAACGAAGATGGCGATACGAAATTAAATTTCAAAAGCTGCTTAATAATAGAAAGATTGATTACCGTGATCACGATTTTGTCACTCGAGACATTCCTCTTTGTCTTTCCGATTGTTTAATTTCCAAATCGTAAACTGGGAGATAAATTTCTACATTGTTGAGAAGAATCGTCCCTCGACGATTAATTTAATCGGTGATATTTAAAACTTGTCAGGTGGTTATCGTATATATAATGGTACGATTTATAAACATTGTCGCGATGAATTATTTTAAAAGAAGGTTCGAGGTTGAAAATGTATCGCGAATATCTGATCTTACCGACTGCAACTTCGAACATAACGTAACATAACATAACCTCTAACGGGCGAAACCGCAATGAAACCGTACGATGCAAATAGTTAAATCACCGCAATGATGATCACCGTGCCACGTTCTCAACTTACTCGACTACTCGATTACGGATCGGGAAAGCCACGATTTACAATTTCCGATTTTAATCTCGTCGCGTAAAAAAAGACGCGACACTTCAACGATGTAATTTCTATCGATGTACACACGACGGCCAATAGGAGGAGCCATCGTCGCCCACGTGACCCGCTGATATCCGGGTTAGGAGAGTTTTTTCCGCGATGGAGGAGCCACGGTAGTTGAGTAATGCATCTGGCTACCTGCCAGGCTCGGGGCTATCCTTCGACGGCCGCTCGTTTCTGAATGAACAATAGAAAATGTCTGGCTACTCGCGGCGCTGCCGCCGCGTCGTTAATGAATACCTTGAATCGGCCTGGCCTCGAGTTCACCGGGCGTTTTACAGGTGCACACGCAGCCGTTCCACGCCTGAGGAACGACTCGGCTGCGTTTCGACCGGAATAACGCCTCGCCTTCGATGGAGGAAGCCGCGTTAAGTCTGGTCATGGGAGAAACTCGATCGACGAGACTCGATTTCGATCGTCTCCCCATAAATTGTTTGGGAATTTTTTTTTTTTCTTCAAAACGAAAATTTTTTTTTTCGTAATCTTCGACAGATCAGGGGATAGGTTACGGGTTCGAAGTATATTTGTCGGGGCGGCCAGTGTATCCGATTTCCGGTGCGTTGATTCGCGGGCAGGAACGCATGCGCACGAGCATGAATAATTCCGTTTTAATGGAAGTGTGTATGTTTAATGCATGAGCAAAATCCACGCTTACACGTGGAAAACAATAGGGAATTTCTCGAAGTTAACGAAGTCCAGGAAATCAGTTGTTCCTCGATACGATTTTTCACCGTAAACA